TAGTTTGTGGATGCTGTGTTTACAGCTTACACAATGCAGTGGTTGTGTTCATGGGACCGGAGCGTCTGAGAGCGGCTCAGAATGACAGCGAGAGGTTCTCACAGAGAACCAGAGTGAGAGAAAACTTCCTGGAAGCTCGTTTTTTTTCTGTCCGTTCTCATCAATGGCATTCCAGCCCGACCCTCTCTTCCCCCGGACAGACAAAAGCATCACATTCCTCTGCTGTCCTCTGGCCGGCCCATCCATGCCATTCACACACACACACAAACAAACAAAACCGGCTTCCCAGCTCTGGATTTCCTCTGGAGATTTACCATCAGATCAGCTGGGATGCAAGAGATCCTCACAGGAGCTGATCACCTAAAAATGACAATTCTGTCATCACTTTCTGTCCTCTGTGGAACAAAATAAGCTGTTTAGCTCAATGTTCATATCTCTTGTGAACAATTCATACTGTTAAGTTCCAGAAACTTGCTGTAAATATACTTAGATATACATGTAATAAAAAATAAATAAAAAATATTAAAATATTAAAAAATCTTAAATAAAATATAATATTATTAATATTTAAAATAGATATGAATTAACAACACTATAGCTTGTTAACTCTTTAGAAACTCATTGTAGCTCTCAAATCCTATTTGCACATATTATCTTTGTCATACAGTAACAATTTCTATATAAAAATAAAATAACTAAATACAAATATTTTTAAATGCATAATAAATATAGTATTAGTTAATATTTAAAATGAATTAAAAATCATTAAAATTGTTTTATAAAAAATAAAAAACATTATAGTTTGTCTAGAAAATCAAATCACATATTTTCTTGATCAAACATTAACAATAAAATTAAATATACATGTAAAATTAATAAAATACCTTATGAATGAATATTAAAAAAAACAAAAATTGAAAGGTTGTTGAAAAGTTAGATTTTTGTTATATTTTTGGAATGAAATGAAAGATCAAACGAATGCACAATATATTTTCACAGCCTTTTTTTTAATACACACAAACAGTATTTTTTCTTTGTGTCTTTATAAATGCCTTTTATATTATACATATACAGCAATCAGATATTAAACGAGCAAATTATTAAATTATGAAATAATTTTATTTTGTACATATGTATAAACTCTAGCCCTGTCTCTAGTGTAGTAGTGTAGTATACTGTAGTGTATTGTGGTGTAGTATACTGTAGTGTAGTATAGTGTAGTATAATGTAGTGTATTGTGGTGTAGTACACTGTAGTGTAGTGTGGTGTAGTATACTGTAGTGTAGTATAGTGTAGTATAATGTAGTGTATTGTAGTATACTGTAGTATACTGTAGTGTAATGTAGTGTATCGTAGGATACTGTAGTGTAGTGTGGTGTAGTATACTGTAGTGTAGTATAGTGTAGTATAATGTAGTGTATTGTAGTATACTGTATTGTAGTATACTGTAGTGTAATGTAGTGTATCATAGTATACTGTAGTGTAGTGTGGTGTAGTATACTGTAGTGTAGTGTAGTGTGGTGTATTGTCAGTGTGAGTGTGTGGCGGGCTCTAGGAGCCTACGCGTCATTCTCGTTCTACGCATCGTTCTTCCGCAGACTGGAGTCTCTCACTGTGGGGAGTTTAGTGTAGTATACTGTGGTGTAGTGTAGTGTAGTGTATTGTAGTATACTGTAGTGTAGTGTAGTGTATTGCAGTATACTGTAGTGCTGTGCGGTGTAGTATACTGTAGTGTAGTGTAGTGTAGAATACTGTGGTGTACTGTACTGTAGTATACTGTTGTGTAGTGTGGTGTAGTATACAGTAGTGTAGTATAGTGTAGTGTATTGTATTGTAGTATAGTGTAGTGTAGTGTGGTGTGGTGTAGTATTCTGTAGTTTAGTGTAGTGTAGTGTAGTATATTGTCAGTGTGAGTGTGAAGTGGGCTCTAGGACCCAGTGTGCCACACTCGCCGGACTCTCTCCACAGGCTGGAGTCTCTCGCTGTGGGGAGTGTAGTGTAGTATACTGTACTGTACTGTAATATACTGTAGTGTACTGTACTGTAGTGTAGTATACTGTAGTGTACTGTACTGTAGTGTAGTATATTGTCAGTGTGGTTGTGCTGCGGGCTCTAGGACCCAGCGCGCCGCTCTCCCCAGACTCTCTCCGCAGGCAGGAGTCTCTCGCTGTGGGGGGTGGAGTGTAGTATTCCAGAAACTTGCTGTAAATATACTTAGATATACATGTAATAAAAAATAAATAAAAAATATTAAAATATTAAAAAATCTTAAATAAAATATAATATTATTAATATTTAAAATAGATATGAATTAACAACACTATAGCTTGTTAACTCTTTAGAAACTCATTGTAGCTCTCAAATCCTATTTGCACATATTATCTTTGTCATACAGTAACAATTTCTATATAAAAATAAAATAACTAAATACAAATATTTTTAAATGCATAATAAATATAGTATTAGTTAATATTTAAAATGAATTAAAAATCATTAAAATTGTTTTATAAAAAATAAAAAACATTATAGTTTGTCTAGAAAATCAAATCACATATTTTCTTGATCAAACATTAACAATAAAATTAAATATACATGTAAAATTAATAAAATACCTTATGAATGAATATTAAAAAAAACAAAAATTGAAAGGTTGTTGAAAAGTTAGATTTTTGTTATATTTTTGGAATGAAATGAAAGATCAAACGAATGCACAATATATTTTCACAGCCTTTTTTTTAATACACACAAACAGTATTTTTTCTTTGTGTCTTTATAAATGCCTTTTATATTATACATATACAGCAATCAGATATTAAACGAGCAAATTATTAAATTATGAAATAATTTTATTTTGTACATATGTATAAACTCTAGCCCTGTCTCTAGTGTAGTAGTGTAGTATACTGTAGTGTATTGTGGTGTAGTATACTGTAGTGTAGTATAGTGTAGTATAATGTAGTGTATTGTGGTGTAGTACACTGTAGTGTAGTGTGGTGTAGTATACTGTAGTGTAGTATAGTGTAGTATAATGTAGTGTATTGTGGTGTAGTACACTGTAGTGTAGTGTGGTGTAGTATACTGTAGTGTAGTATAGTGTAGTATAATGTAGTGTATTGTAGTATACTGTAGTATACTGTAGTGTAATGTAGTGTATCGTAGGATACTGTAGTGTAGTGTGGTGTAGTATACTGTAGTGTAGTATAGTGTAGTATAATGTAGTGTATTGTAGTATACTGTAGTATACTGTAGTGTAATGTAGTGTATCATAGTATACTGTAGTGTAGTGTGGTGTAGTATACTGTAGTGTAGTATAGTGTAGTATAATGTAGTGTATTGTAGTATACTGTATTGTAGTATACTGTAGTGTAATGTAGTGTATCATAGTATACTGTAGTGTAGTGTGGTGTAGTATACTGTAGTGTAGTATAGTGTAGTATAATGTAGTGTATTGTAGTATACTGTATTGTAGTATACTGTAGTGTAATGTAGTGTATCATAGTATACTGTAGTGTAGTGTGGTGTAGTATACTGTAGTGTAGTGTAGTGTATTGCAGTATACTGTAGTGCTGTGCGGTGTAGTATACTGTAGTGTAGTGTAGTGTAGAATACTGTGGTGTACTGTACTGTAGTATACTGTTGTGTAGTGTGGTGTAGTATACAGTAGTGTAGTATAGTGTAGTGTATTGTATTGTAGTATAGTGTAGTGTAGTGTGGTGTGGTGTAGTATTCTGTAGTTTAGTGTAGTGTAGTGTAGTATATTGTCAGTGTGAGTGTGAAGTGGGCTCTAGGACCCAGTGTGCCACACTCGCCGGACTCTCTCCACAGGCTGGAGTCTCTCGCTGTGGGGAGTGTAGTGTAGTATACTGTACTGTACTGTAATATACTGTAGTGTACCGTACTGTAGTGTAGTATACTGTAGTGTACTGTACTGTAGTGTAGTATATTGTCAGTGTGGTTGTGCTGCGGGCTCTAGGACCCAGCGCGCCGCTCTCGCCAGACTCTCTCCTGTGGGGAGTGTAGTGTAGTATACTGTACTGTACTGTAGTGTACTGTACTGTAGTGTAGTGTAGTGTAGTGTGCAGCGGGCTCTAGGACCCAGTGTGCCGCTCTCGCCAGACTCTCTCCGCAGGCAGGAGTCTCTCGCTGTGGGGAGTGTAGTGTAGTATACTGTACTGTACTGTAGTGTACTGTACTGTAGTGTAGTGTATTGTCAGTGTGAGTGTGCGGCGGGCTCTAGGACCCAGCGCGCCGTTCTCGCCAGACTCTCTCCGCAGGCAGGAGTCTCTTGCTGTGGGGAGTGTAGTGTAGTATACTGTACTGTAGTATACTGTAGTGTACTGTACTGTAGTGTAGTGTATTGTCAGTGTGAGTGTGCGGCGGGGTCCAGGACCCAGCGCGCCGCTCTCGCCAGACTCTCTCCGCAGGCAGGAGTCTCTCGCTGTGGGGAGTGTAGTGGAGGAGAGGCGAGGACACGCTTGTGCTCATCAAAACACTTTGACCATGTAGTGTACTGTACTGTAGTGTAGTATATTGTCAGTGTGGTTGTGCTGCGGGCTCTAGGACCCAGCGCGCCGCTCTCCCCAGACTCTCTCCGCAGGCTGGAGTCTCTCGCTGTGGGGAGTGTAGTGTAGTATACTGTACTGTACTGTAGTATACTGTGGTGGACTGTATTGTAGTGTAGTGTATTGTCAGTGTGGGTGTGCGGCGGGCTCTAGGACCCAGCGTGCCGCTCTCGCTGTACTCTCTCCACAGGCTGGAGTCTCTCGCTGTGGGGAGTGTAGTGTAGTACACTGTAGTGTAGTATATTGTCAGTGTGGTTGTGCTGCAGGCTCTAGGACCCAGCGCGCCGCTCTCGCCAGACTCTCTCCGCAGGCAGGAGTCTCTGGGAGTGTAGTGTAGTATACTGTACTGTACTGTAGTATACTGTAGTGTACTGTAGTGTAGTGTAGTGTAGTGTGCAGCGGGCTCTAGGACCCAGCGCGCCGCTCTCGCCAGACTCTCTCCGCAGGCAGGAGTCTCTCGCTGTGGGGAGTGTAGTGGAGGAGAGGCGAGGACACGCTTGTGCTCATCAAAACACTTTTACCTGTTTTCTGCGGGATTAAAGTAGCACCTGAAGCAGCGAGCTCCTCCACAGCAATGCGCCGGAGCCCTCAGTGAAACCCGTCTCGGTAAAGTCTCTCTCCATTCAGTTTGATGTCAGTTATTGAAGCTCTGCTGCTCAATAGGATGCGGTTATTTCTCTCTCAGAGGCCTAAAATAAAAGACTCGAACTGTCAAATGAAACCGCCCCACACGGGGTGAATGAAAGTACTAGTTTAGCTGCTGGTTAAGCAGCGGTGATCTGTAGTTTAGGAAGCGCAGGAGTGTCTTTCTTCGTCTCTTTGTTCATCTGTCAGTTGTTACTTTGTGTCACTTTAAGCGCGCGGACGCGCAGGCCCAACGCTACAATGTTTAAATGTAGCAATATTCGAATGTTACAACGTTTCTCTCGTCGTTCTCTGCCGTTCTCTATACATTCCGATGTCTCTGTACGTGACAGTCCTGCTGTGTTTACGAACGACATGTGCCTAACGTACTGAGTGTGTCTTCCTGTTAATATTTGATCACACTGTAATCTGAGGTGCTTGTGTTTACGTCGAGGACCTGACTAACACTAATTACCACAGCACTACCATATTGTTTTGACACGTGCCGTGGTATTCTTTGAAGAGCGTTGGAGTAATATGGAAATGGATGAATTGGATGTGAACATATATAAGTGAATTCCAATGTAAAAGTCTGTAGAGAGGGTCGTATGGATGGACTGTCAGATGTCACATGACTGGAGCTGAAGATGCTGACAGTATAATGAGAGGATATCTGACTGTAAACACTCACAAGCGCTGCTTTAGCTGGGTTGTGGTTCTGTGCTGTGACTTCATCTAATCATGATGGGTCTTGTTTACTTCAGGCTTGTTTAGTCTTTGATTCTTGATTGTTTTTGATTATAGGTTGTGTGGAGCATTAAATCAGGACCTTGGGTTGAGTGTACAGTACCAAAGCTTCCACACGCCTACTCGTTCTGCATGATTTCCACATTTTACTGTAATAGTGAAGTCATTTAATCTATGAAATCACACAAATGGAAATATGGGACTGATTACGTGATTCAAACATGTGACACAGATTCATACATTTCATCCTTCTGCTTCAAATACTACATAAAATAATAATACGTCTGTCTCGCCTCACTCTTCTCGTCTGTCTCGCCTCACTCTTCCCGTCTGTCTCGCCTCACTCTTCTCGTCTACAGTAGGCATATGGATATTTTAAATCTAAAATTTTAAAATCAAAATTTTTGATGTATGATAGATGGATAGATTAAAGATAGATTAAAGATGGATGGATGGATAGATAGAGGATGGATGGATGGATGGATAGATTAAAGATAGATGGATAGATTATAGATAGATAGATAGATAGATAGATAGGTTTCCGCACAGAGTCTATTTCTGCTGTGCTGCATGCGCTGAATTAAAGTGACAGCGCATTATTCGCAGTAGAAAATAACATGGATTAGCACGGAAATTGAGTAATTACACCATAAATGCATATAATTAAAGTCTACTGTTTCACAGTCAACACATGGCTTTTTGGCTAGATTTAAAACAAGGAAAAGAGCACTTTTAGATAAACAAGGCAATAATAGATGGCACTCGTGGAGGTAGGAAAACAAAGTTATATTTATTGAGTTTAAACGTGAATATGTCTATGAAAGATTGTATTACTGTACTGTGATAAAAGAGAATCACAATGCTGAAAAAGCATTTTCAGAAACAACGTTTGGATTTGAAATCAAAATAATGGATAAATGTTGTGTTTGTGGTAAACAGCCGTGGATCCGGAGCGGACTGCAAACGAGTCCTGTGCGAAAGCACAATGAGTCCATGCTGCTTCTGCACCGCATACACATACTGTATACGCACTGCAGACGGAGTACGTGTGAACTTGGCACAACAAATCTAGTTCAACATCTGAGGCAATGCCACAAAGAGCTCTGTGACCAATGCATGGCCCCTGGACACGGGATTTTGTTACACCTTTACGTAGTGATTATTTTGCCTAAGACTTTGTCTGTTCTAGAGACATGTTACAGCGAAATCGCTAAATTGATCAAAGAAATCGCGATAGGTTTTTTTTTTGTCCATATCGCACAGCCCTACATAATATTATATGTTATAATAATAATATTATAGGAACTACCATAAAAACTAGCCTTCGGGCTAATTTGGGTACATTTACATTCATGAATGTTGATTAATGTGCACTGTCCCTTTTTTGTGAAATAAATAAATGTATATAAAAAGTAAAAATAATAATGAAACTAACATTTCATTGTGTGTGTGTTTTCATTCATTATACATTTTTGATGTACTATATACACATTTTTTTTTCCAGTAATTGCATGTGCTATATATCTATATGCTGTTTAGACTGTAAAAAATAATTTTTAGAAGTTAATACAAAAGATTATGGGAGTACACCCCCCCCAAAAAACACAACTAATTCAGTCTTTTATATTTATTGTTTGCCTATTTATGTAATATCCAGTAAACACATTAACCAAACACTATGATTAAATTCTAAAATTATATAACATATTAAACTGTAAAAGTATTTTACTCCGTAATTGTGTGTAATATTTAAAAAAATATTTATATATATTATTTTATATATTATATATCGTTTATGCAAAATATTTGTTTTGTAGATGGCAAACTGCAGACTGTAGACTTTTTTTAAGTTATAAAAAAATATATATAAATAAAAGACTTTCTACTTTTTCTACTTCAGAATTTCATGTTTAATTCAATGTGTTACTTGCATTTTCTTTTCTGCGTCAAAATTGCTTCAAAGTAAAGCCTGCACTCATTTTTGCTAGTGTACACACTGTAAAAAAAAAAAAAGTATGAGTATGATTTACAAGAAAATACTATTTCAGTCTTTCTACTTCTACGCAATGATTTGTGAACATTTCAGTTATTGAGTGCACATTTTTCCTAGTTTTTTTCGACTAGATCCTACCTGTTTATTTTATTATAATATTTTCATTCTAAATTTATGATGACGCTACACAGAAGGAAGCTGTCTATGTAGGCGGCACACTAGCTTTAGAACGGAGTGAATACGAGGAGCGTCGTTTACGGGTGACTCTGTTACTGAGGCTGTTTTGGTCCTTCATCCCCCGTCTGAACTGTGCTTATTGTAAATAACTGAGTTCCTGTAAAGCAGGCAGTCGCTGGTCAGCGCGTTTGTGTTTATTTACGATGGTGCCAACTTTTAAAGTCGTCTTCCTTTAGCACAGGAAGTGGTGGCTTCTGCACCGAGCGCGATACTGTGTCACATTATCTCTGCGCTGAAAGTCTGTCGGTCGAGCGCTGCAGACGTGCAGTTGTTGTTGTTGTGGAGAGTGAATTGTAATAATTTGATCGCTGATTGACTCAGAGCGTATCGAAAGTGTGTCAGTGAGGTTTTCAGATCAACTTCAGCACAGCGCAGTCTGTTGTTAATACATTTAGATATTTATTGAGAGTTAGAGCCTTTTATGATGTTGTTGCTGAAGTTTTATAAAGCAATAAGGCACTGAACGGAAAAGGGTTAATTCACAAGTCTCTTCTGCTCAAGGCTGCATTTATTTGATAAAAAATACAGCTAAAATTGTGAAATATTATTACAATTTGAAATAACTGTTTTCTATGTGAATATCTGTTAAACTGTAATGTATTTCTGTGATGTGCAGCTGTATTTTCAGCATCATTCCTCCAGTCTTCAGTGTCACATCATCTTCAGAAATCAGTATAATATGCTGCTCAAGAAACGTTTCTGATTATTATCAATGTTGAAAAGTTACAGTCGTGATGCATTTTATTTTTCAGGATTCACAGATGAATAGAAAGCTCAAAAGAACAGCATTTATTTGAAATAGAAATCTTTTCTAACATTATAAATGCCTTTACTGTCACTTTTGATCAGTTTAATGTATCCTTGATGAATAAAAGTATTAATTTGTTTCAATAAAGATGCTTAAAATGTCTAAATTCCAATTATAAATATCATTTATAATGGGAGTTTCTACACATTTCATCATCTGTTAAAACCTAAAAGGTTTATTTTAAATAGATTTTTCAATGTATGCAGTGTACTTTTAAAATTATTTTTTTTATATTGATTCATACGTTCATCAAACAATACTGGTGGAGTTTTATAAACATAATCATGTAGAATTATGTTCAAGGCTTAAATGTCTTTAGGCATTTGCTTTGAGTTTATTTGCATTTTGTTTGTCTAGAAAGTGTTTCTGTTTTTGTTAGTTCCCTGATGTATTTAAAGTGACAGTTCACCAAAAAATAAAAATGTGGTCAAGTTGTTCCAAACCTGTACGAGTTTCTTTCGTCTGTTGAAGATAAAAGAAGATATATTGAAGAATGTCGGTAACCAAACAGTTGACGGTACCCATTGACTTCCATTTTTTTTTTTTTCCATACTATGGAAGTCAATGGGACCATCATGTAACAACTTGGGGGGGAAATAATTCTGCCATCACTATGACTATTACTATTTTTCTATTGAACACAAAATGAAGATGTTTTGAAGAATGTTGGCAACCAAACAGTTGATGGTACCCATTGACTTTCATAGTTTTTTCTTTTTTTCCATACTATGGAAGTCAGTGGGGACCATCATGTAACAACTTGAGGGTGAAATAATTCTTCCATCATTTACTTTTTTTCTATTGAACACAAAATTAAGATATTTCAAAGAATGTAGGTAACCAAACAGTTGATGGTACCCATTGACCGCCATAGTTTTTTTCCATGCTATGGAAGTCAATGGGACCATCATGTAACAACTTGGGGGTGAAATAATTCTGCCATCACTATTGCTGTTAATATTATTCTATTGAACTCAAAATGAAGATATTTTCAAGAACGTTGGCAACCAAACAGTTGACGGTACCCATTGACCTCCATAGTTTTTTTTTCCATACTATGGAAGTCAATGGAGACCATCATATAACAACTTGGGGGTGAAATAATTCTGCCATCACTATGACTATTACTATTTTTCTATTGAACACAAAACGCAGATATTTTGTAGAATGTTGGCAACTAAACAGTTGACGGTACCCATTGACTTCCATAGTATGGAAACAAAATACAGTGGAAGTCAATGGGGACTGGCGTCTCATACAGGTTTGGATCAACATGAGGGTGAGCAAATGCTGACAGAATTGGGTGAACTGTCCCTTTAAGTGTTTATATGTGATGAACAGCACTGGTTTAATTGGTTTTAAACTAGTTTTCTGGTGGTTCTTCCGCAGGCGACCCGTGTGAAGAGGCTTTACGCTGGCCAGATCGAAGCACTCGGCGGATCTGGATAGACTGACGGCCTGCCGCCGGAGAGCATGACGACGGACGTGGTGATCGTGAAGGAGGGATGGCTCCACAAGCGAGGTGCGTTGGTGCTTTAGTGTGTATCGATCGGCTCTGATGGCTATTTACATGAGAGAACAGAGCGGCTCAAGGCTTCCCTTCAGATCGCGGAAGCTCCAGTAAACAAGTCACTAAAGAATCAAGAGTGCTGACAGAGTTCATGAAGAATCAAAGATCTGTTTGATCGCCTGAATCTGGAGTTTCCCTGAAAGACTTGGGACATTTTGAGTTTGTTTCTGAACTCCTACACAATCAGTTAAAGTCCACATGATCATAAATTCAGCCTGTTTACTGTACGCTTTGAATGCCTGTTACTGAGAATAATTCATAAGGGATGTTATTCAAAAGACAAAATTGTTTTTTAAGATTAGTTCGTGCATTAGCTAACATGAACTAACAATGAGCAATATATTACAGCATTTATTATTTTTTGTTAATGTTAGTCAAAATAGTTGTTCATGTCACAGTGCATTCATGCAACTTTATTGCATTTTAATAATGTGTTGCTAAATGTCAAAATTGTAGTAATAATAATAAATAAGTTAACGATTAATACATTTATTAAAAATAATATATTGGTAAAATGAATATAAAATTAATAATCTAAATTATTTGAAATTAAATTGCAGTGTTATTATAGTTGACTAACAATGAGCAATATATTTTTTAAAGTATTTATTAATTTTTTTGTTCTTATGAATATAATATAATATAATCACAGTGCATTAATTAATTTGAATTTAGACAAATGTATTGCATTATAATAATATAATACTAAATGTCAAAATAATAATAATAATAATAATACATGAATAGCAAGTAAATACATTTATAATAATTAATAAATATTAATAAAATAATTATATAAATTACTTATAATGCTTTAGAAGTTAATTGCAGGGTTATTACAGTTAACTAAAACTAGAGATAAAATTACTTGAACTAAAATGAAAATATAAAAATAAAAACTGATTCAAAATATTAATAAAAACTATAATAGTATCTCAATGATACGAAATAACACTGGTTCATTTTTAGTTTAAGTTAACTAATGCAGCGCACTTATGTAAACAAATAAAACCATATTGTAAACTGTTACCAATAAAATTAATTGTCATTACATTTTTAATAACGTCAGCATTGTCGTCTGCCTTATGGAGACTCTTTTCACCATCCAGTCAAGTCCTCATAAATAAAATAATTTCTTTTTCTCATCGAATGTCCGGTTTCACTCTGAAATATGTCACATTAGCTTAGAAAAATGGGTTACGAGCCGCGTTTCCCATTGACCCAGGACGCTCCTTTAAATGACTGCTCTAGATTAATCAAACGATCTTTGACTCTTTCTGTCCACGTCTAGTGTGTGTGTGTGTGTGTGTGTGTGTGTGAACGTCCTGTCTGTGGTGACCAGCTGCTTGTCACAGATGCGGTCGATAAGGGTTGTGTATTGTGATGGAAACTGCCACAAATGCATGAGAGAGATTTACGTACATGATCAGTTTCTTGCATCAGTCTTTCTTGCATGGTTTGCTTCGCTTTTGTCCAGTACGACGTCTCATAGAAGCGGCCGCACTGAGAAAATACTTATTTAGATGATTATTTAGCGTCCTCATTCATTGACAATTATATCAATGAACACATGAAGTCGGTATTAAAGGGGTCATATGATGTTGCTAAAAAGAACATCATGTTGTGTATTTGGTGTAATGAAATGTGTTTATGCGGTTTAAGGTTAAAAAAACACATTATTTTCCACATACTGTTCATTATTGATGCTCCTCTATGCCCCGCCTTTCTGAAACACGTCGATTTTTACAAAGCTCATCGGTCTGAAAAGCGAGGTGTGCTGTGATTGGCCAGCTATCCAGTGCGTTGTGATTGGCCGAATACCTCAAGCGTGTGACGGAAATGTTACGCCCCTCACCATACTGTGATGATGCCCTGTCAGGCCGGAGCGACGAGACAAAAACATTAAAACCCATTACAAACTAGGCATTTGTTGCATCCAGTGAGGACATAATTACGGATTATAATGACTTATACTGTCTTTTTACGCGTTGCATCGCGCCACGTACACATAAAACTATTTCTGCATTTGTGATCGGAGAAATGACAAACAACAAAAGCTACTCTACACTGCTCAAAAAACTCGCGTTTGAATCATCAGTGGCAAGTTCGTTAAAAATTAAAATGTACTTACAGTCTGTGAGTCAGAACAGTCGGCATTGTAGTCTACTCTCCCAGGATCAGGAAACAGTCCTCCATAAAATGTGCTGCACACATCTGAATATTTGGGTTGAACTGTTCTGGAACAGTGTTGTAAACACAACTTAACCACTGATTTCTACTCATGTCCTCTTTTGGAAGACCAAACAAAGTTGTTTAGCGTTCACAACAAAACACACAGCGTCTTCACGACATGGCGGCGGAAGCAACAATACTACAGCGAGAATAAAAGTTACGCCTTCTTTCTTTGCGTGAACATTTGGGCGGCGTTATGCAAATCTTCCCACATCGTGACGTAGACATGTGGGGGCGTGTTAGAACGAGGTGTTTTAGGTAGGCGGGACTCTTAACTTTTATAAAGAATATCTCTTTGGATTTGAGACTTTAGTCTTTGCAACTTTACAGATCTTATCTATGCACAATCAGCTTGTAACACTCCAAAGAGAAAGGAACAATTGAAATCGCATCATATGACCCCTTTAATACAAGGACTATTGTGAGAATACAAATTGCAGTGAATGAACATGTGATTGTGTTGTCTTGAATGTGTTGAATCTGGAATATTAATGTGCAGATGACTAGTTGAACTTCATGGTAGCTTTGTGTTATGGTTAGTTTAGTTTAGTATTTGAGGTGCTTTTAGCACATTTCTGTGCATGCATGTTGAGTGAAGTCGTATCACATCCACGCTGCTAACCAGAGCTGCTGTTAAGAGACACAAACGGTGGCATGTGTGATGGTTTTAGCAGAAGATCTACTCCGCTGTGACGTCAGACAGCCGTCTGGTTAACCAGAGCAGGAAACAGGGAGGGAGGTGGCTAAGGGGAAGGACTGTTATTTAGATCTCAGCGGCTGATACAGAAAAATGTGAATGGAGGGTCTGCAGGGACGGGAAGTGTGTTTCCACTAGAAATAATGTCTGGCTCTTTGACTTTTCCTCCACTTATAGTTATATGGTGCACATACTTATTTAAAAGTGAAATCAAAAGCTGATTGATCATTTATTCATTGGATGTTTGTTTGATGTGTCTGTTTTCAAAGTCTGTTGTGCATCGTTTGAGCTTAAAAAGTTTTTATTTTATTTATTTTTTTTTGCAAATAATGCTTTTATTTCGCAAGGATGCATTAAATTGATCACAACTGAGAGTAAAGACAGTATTTAATTTTTTTTTAAAGATTTAATACTTTTATTCAACAAGGACACATTAAATTAATCAAAAGTGTCAGTAAAGACGTTTATAATGTCTTAAAAGATTTCTATTTCAAATAAATGCTGTTCTTTTGAACTTTCTATTCAGCTGTGAATCCTGAAAAATAAATGTATCATGGTTTCCACAAAAATATTGGGCAGCAGTTTTCAACATTGATAATAATCAGAAATGTTTCTCGAGCAGCAGATCAGCATATTATACTGATTTCTGAAGATCATGTGACACTGAAGACTGGAGTAATGATGCTGAAAATACAGCTGCGCATCACAGAAATAAATTACAGTTTAGCAGATATTCACATAGAAAACAGCTGTTTTAAATCATAATGATATTTAAAATTTTTACAGTTTTTCCTGTATTTCTAATGCAATAAATGCAGGCTCGGTGAGCAGAAGAGGCTTCTTTCAAAAACATTAAAGGGTTAGTTCACCCAAAAGTGTTTTACTCACCCTCGAGCCATCCTAGGTGTGTATGACTTTCTTCTTTCAGACGAATCCAATCGGAGTTATATTAAAAATTGTCCTGGCTATTCCAAGCGTTATTATTGCAGTGGGTGGGTGTTTCTCTTCAGTCCAAACCACGTTAAATAAAGTGCACGCATCCATAATAAAACGTGCCTCACATGGCTCCGGGGGTGAAAAAAGGCCTCCTGTAGCGATTCCATGCGTTTTAGTAAGAAAGATATCCATATTTCAAACATAATAAACACGTTTCTCTCTCTTCTGCTGACTGTCATACGCGGAAGGCGTTCTGGTGGATGACGTAGGACGTAGGCTTCTGTGTGAGGCACGTTTCATTACGGATGCACGCACTTTATTTAATGTGTTTTGGACTGTTACACAGAAACACCCGCCCACTACAATGATAGAGCTTAGAAGTGCCAGGACAATTTTAATATAAGTCCGATTAGATTTGTCTGAAAGAAGTAAGTCATACACACCTAGGATGGCTTGAGGGTGAGTAAATAACAGGCTAAGTTTCATTTTTGGGTGAACTAACCCTTTAATGATGCCTCCCGACCCCAAATTTTGAATGGTGGCGTGTAAAGTGTAAATATATATTTTTGTATTTATTTCCAGATTTATTTGCTTTTGTTCAAATCCTTGAACACACACACACACACACACACACATGTTTGTTTCTGTGAATTGTGGGGACTTTCCATAGACTTCTATTACTTTTATACTGACCAAACAATAGTTTCTATCCCCTAACCCTAACCCTACCCCTTATAGAAAACCTGTTTGCATTGTTACACTTTCCCACAATGTAAAAACATTTAGTTCCCACAATGTACCATAAACAAGTACTCTCTCTCACACACACACACACACACGCACACAATCTCTCTCTCTCTCTCACACACACACACACTCTCTCTCTCTCTCTCTCTCTCTCTCTCTCTCTCTCTCTCTCTCTCTCTCTCTCTCTCTCTCTCTCTCTCTCTCTCTCTCTCTCTCTCTCTCTCTCTCTCTCTCTCTCTCTCTCTCTCTCTCTCTCTCTCTCTCTCTCTCTCTCTCTCTCTCTCTCTCTCTCTCTCTCTCTCTCTCTCTCTCTCTCTCTCTCTCTCTCTCTCTCTCTCTC